GAGGCATTTCTGACAGGTCTTCTGACCCGCAGGCCTCCCTGAAGTGTGTGTGCAGCTTCTCAAGCAGGAAGGCACTTTGTGGCTGAGTCTAAATGAAACAGAAGTGACTATGCTCGCGCGCACGCACACACACACACACACACACACACACACACCAGAATAGGGAAACCGTCATTTTCCTACTTGCCCTCTGACATCAGCCACCTCCTGAGTCGCTGCAGTGTGTCTGCGCTCAACCTAATCCCTGGCGATGAAAAATGAGCCTCTCCCCCACTCATGCTGCTGCCTTGCGCCTCACGCCCCCAGAGAAGAGTTTCTTTGTGAGGCAGCTGGTGAAGGTTTTTTTCCAAGTCACATGATCCAGGATGCAGGGGAGAATCCTTCTTGGAACCGAGATGGGCCCAGAACCGGAGCAGATGAGGAGCGATAAGGTGTGATGTGGGGAAGACTATATAAGAATGGGCCCCAGGCTGCAGCGAGCACTCCACCGAGTGGCCCCTTCTCAAGACACAGCCATGCACGAGCCAGCAGGCTCCGTCGCCAGCCACTGGGGGACCACGAGCCGAAGTTACTTCTGCTTCACCACTGCCACGCTGGCTGTGTGTCTCGTCTTTGCTGTGGCGACCATCATGGTGCTGGTGGTTCAGAAGTCGGTAAGTGGACTTCTCCTCCTCGCCTTTCCTTTCTGATTTACGTTCAGTTTTCCCCAGAGAGAGCCTTGGGAATCAGCTAATAAATTAGCGGCGAGGTTTGAAAATAAAAAGTGCATAGATCATGTGGAGAAAGGGAGTAGAGAAACGGGAACTTACTCTCTGAAATATTTTGGCTTTTGGAAAGAAAGGTTTGTTGAGCTATCATCTCAAAACTTTCCAGACTCCCTGAGCCAACAGAGGGAGGAGAGCTCTCAGCTCTGAGAAATGAAGGGTTAAATCATGTAGAGCCAGGGACTCTGAGCAAGGAAGGAGGCAATAAGGAAACCGGGTAACATTATTTGCACAACTTCTTCTCATGTTTTCAAAGTCTTCAGACCAGATTCCCAGGGTCTATATTCTCAGATCAAATATTCCTGAGATTCCTGTGATCTCGTCCATTGCCAAGGGCTTTTTTTTTTTTTTTAACAAGAAGCTAAGTGTCCAAGGCCAAGGTCTGAAAGGGAAGGGGGCAAAAGGGAAGACCAGGGCCGCTTAGAGCTTTGAGCATTTCAGCATTAAAACCCACAAGACAAATTGAAAGCTCCCTCACAAGTCAGTGCTTTGAAGAGCTGAGGGTCACAAGAAACAGAGCCCAGAAATGGATCATAGAAATGTTTTTAACGCCTGTTCCCTCCGAGACTGCTCAGAATGCTGAAGCTACAAGCCATGACAGGTGCGCATGGTAGAGTCACACCTCTCAGGAGGCTTTGTTTGAAGTACAGTGTGAGCTTTGGTGCAAAAATAGAAGCGATGAAGGAGGAAGCCTTCTCATATTTTAAGAAATTGGTGTTTACAGAGAATCCACCCGTAGGTGTTATAAAGAGCAGTGTCTGGAAGTACATGTTGTTGAATTTTGGAGTAAAGGTTTTGTTAATTTTGATAGCTTAAAAACTGTACCCTCTCCCCACCCTGCCAGAGTGAGAATATTTCTGTTTGTTCCTTCATAGTTCCCACTTGTGGTGACATTACAGCCCTGCAGAATTGCCCTGGTTTCCCTCCCACTCCCTTAGGCTGAAGGCTCTGTAACTCGTGGATTACTAAAAAGAATCGGGCTTTAATAGACTTTGGTATCTTTTCTCAAGTGTCCTCAAGCTTTGAAATTTAAATGATGCTGTGAGTCTCATATCTCCATAAAAGTGAAAGAAAACAGAATTTCTCTATTTGATTTCATTGGTAGAGTTTATGAAACTCGTCATTTAATGGCCTTATCTACATCTACTAAAACTAATACTCTGAAAACATTCTAGGGCACTCTTTTTTTGGTAGAGGCTGTATAATTTTCTGTAATTCTAATTTGATGTAAACCACAGGTGTATCACTTTATAGCAATGGCCAAAGAAAAGAAATTGAAGTGGCCTTTAAGGTATTTAAAGTTTGCATCTAGAACTTGAGAAAGAGAAGAGAAGAGAAGAGAAGAGAAGAGAAGAGAAGAGAAGAGAAGAGAAGAGAAGAGAAGAGAAGAGAAAAGAGAAGAGAGGGATGGTGATGGTGACATATAAAGCCAGAGAACTCCAGAATGGTTCTTATTAAATCCCAGTTTTAGTTGAATTGATTCTTTTCATAAAGGAACTGGCATTGATCTTTCTGCCTCATTTTTGTAAACATGTAAAATGAGGAACAGAAAGGGGACAGAGCTTGAACTAAGTTCATCTTGAGAAAGTGGTAGAGTCAGCTGCTTGCTTGTTTAATGAGAAAACATTCCCTTTTCCAATACAGACAGCAATAGAAGCACTAAGAAACTTTGTTCTCAGTCTTCTCTGAGGAGCTTTATTACCTTGTGCGTCCATTTTTTTGACTTAGCCCTCATGTTTAGATGTGAAAAGATTCATTTCACAATCTGACTGTGTGGTTTGGTATGCTATGATTTCTTAGCCTGAGAAGTATCAGTTACTCACTTAAAAGCAGTGCTAAGTATTAAGTGTTTTACACATTACTGTTTCTAATAACTTGTTTAGATATTAACTGTTATAAGAGATGAGAAGGGTTATCTCCATGAGCTCAAGCATTCAGGGAAGGCTTCTTCAGGAAGAGAGAATTCAGGCGGACTTTAGGGTAGGTGTAACTTAGACAAATAAAGAGACTCTAACAGGACTTCTGCTTTAAAAAAAAAAATCAATGGGAGATACCCAAGGAACTTAAACTCACATCCCAATTATTGAAAACGAAATAGGTTCATGGCCACATAGCACTCTGTGAGGATGGATGGGGGCAGGGGTAGAGAACCATGAGAAAGGTTTTACTGGCATAAGAAGTGACAGTTGTACATAAAAAGGCACATGTACAGACAAAATTAAAGTAAGTCATAATCTATTTTAAGTGATGGAAAGGAGGCACCTAGGGCTACCATAAGACCCTAAGTTAAGGAGACAGAACAGGAAAGTTTAACAAAAACTCCACTGGAGACTGAAGATTTGGGTTGGCTTGAGAGATGTGTATAACTTCAAACAGGTGAAGAAGGGGGATCAAAAAAGAGGGCCCTCCTGGTCAATAGAACAACATGAGCAAAGGGATAGAGAAGAGAAGATGTAAGTCATGTAGGAAAATCAACAAAGATTGCCTTGAGGTTTGTCCTGAAGATCAAATAACTCCAAGGTCAAACTCCTTGGGTGAGACAAAGAAGGCACTTGGGTTTCAATCACAAATTTTTATTGAGCATCTACTGTGTGCAGACACTGTTCTGAGAAATGGGGATATATACAGCCTTGAAAAAGCCAACAGAAGTCCTGCTTTCATGTTGCTTATGGAACAGTAGTCGAATAATACCTCTGTGTCTGTGTGGTTGTACTTTGTTTTATTTACATTTAAACCAGTATACTTATTATAAAATATTATATTTAAATTACTTAAGAGAAATAAACAGGAAACAAGGAAAAAGGGAGAAAAAAGTAACAGTCTCTTACACCCTTCCCACCCAACCACCAATCCCCCTTTCCTGAAATAACCACCATTAACAGATACTTCCTTGTCCTTCCCGAAATCTGTGTATCTACAAATATATAGTACACACATATAATTATAGTAAACTCATAAATTTGCATCTTACTTTATTGACTGGCAGTATATCTTGGGGAGTCATCCATGCCAATACATGGAAATCCACGTATTGTATTGAATAACTGCATTATAATTCGTCTGTGTCTAGAATTGTGCTCGCTGTGCATGTCTACAAGTATATCTGTGGGATAAATTCCTAGCTGTGGGACTAGAATGTATATTTCTCACTTCAGTAAATATTGTCAATCAGCTTCCAAAGAGATTGTACCAGGATACTCTTGAGGAAGTAATAGTACTACCAACAAAGAGACATCTCTTCCCCTCAAGACAAAGAAAGAAAGGTAATTGATTATTGAATGAGCACAACATAGTACACACAGGTATGTCAGGATGAAATTCCACATAGTTTATACAGCAAAGCAAAAACAGTAAAATTTCTCTTGTCTCCTCCAGAGACAAAGGGTTAGTTGGAGAAGGAGGCAGGCTGCATGCCAGGCTTACTCTAGAAAGGACTGTCTCTGCTGCAAATCTGAGGCTGGGCTTATCCAGCCCCTTGAGAGATCCATTTACATTCAACAAGGTTAGAGCAAAGCAAGAGGCTCAGGATCACTAGGTTTGAAAGGAGGCCCTTTGTAGAAAGAAAAGAAAGCAGCTGCCTCCCTTCTCTTTATAAGCAAAGAAAATTCCTTTTTAAAACAGTGTATCCTTGCCAAGAGTGGAGCAGTGCCTGTTTAAGGGTAGTGAGTGGGGCGGTGGTCTGGTTTTTCTAGTTTACTCCTAAGTTTAAATAAAATAAAGAGGTGTGTTGAAACGCCCTGTGATGCTTCCCTCTACCCAAGTTACTCTCTTCTCAGGGTCAAGCCCTATGCTTGATCCAATGGGCCGTGATGGGAGGACCGAGTGGACAGGGCAGGACTTCTGTTTTCTGGGAATTTCTAGTTTGGGGCAGAATGGCACAGAATGCCATAGACCACAGGAAAGGAAGACAGTTTCTGCTTAGGAACATCTTTGCAGTGAGGGAGGGGTTTACAGAAGAGCTGGAATGCAAGCTGAGTCTCCTTCAAGGTTAGGAGGATCATGTCTTATGCCCAGAGTTTTATTTTGAAAATGTTCAACCTTCAGTAAACTAGAACAGTAAATACTCATATAACCTATATACAAAGTTGCAAACAGTGTGACCTTTTGCCTACATGGATTTCAGCCCATCTCCTGCTTACTGCAAAGACATTCTCATAGCCGAGAGAGTTAATGTTAATTCAGTAATATCACTTAATAATGATATGCAGCCCATACTTTAATTTCCCCACTTGTCCAAAGACATCTTCTACAGGCACTGTGCCCTGTTTGGTTTGGAGATCCAGAATCCACTCTCAGGTTGCACACTGCATTTGGTTATTCTTATTAATCTAGAACGTTGCTATTTCAAGGGTGGTCCTGGAAGCTGATTAGAAATGCAGAATCCCAGGCCCCATTCTAGACCTACTGGATTGAAATTTTCGTTTTAACAAGGTCCCCAGGGATCTATGCACATTCAAGCCTGAGAAGCAATGATCCAACCATCTTCTCTGCCCTTTGTTCTTTGTTTCCATGACACTGACTTTTTCGGAGGGTCCAAGCTAGTTTCGTTGTAGAATAACTCACCTTTTGGATTTGTCTTAGTGTTTACTTGTCATTATATGAGGGGAAACATTTTGGCAGTTATAGTGCACAGGTAATGTTTTATATACTTCTTATTGTAGTACGGCTAGAGACATATGTCAGGTTGTCCCATGAGTGGCAATGATGGTTAGTCACTTGATTAAGTTGGTCACCATTGTCTATCTCTTCTGTAAAACTCTTTCTTTCTTTCTTACTAATGAGTAATCCATGGGGTGATGCTCTGGGGGTAGAAGGTTAATGATTGCCTGATTCTATCACTACTTCCACATTTATTAGCCGGCATTCTCCGATGGAGAAGAGCTCTCCAT